ATGTATGTATGTGGGTATATGAATAACGACCGCTTAAAATCGATTTCAAAGTTCAACTTTCGCTGTAGAAATTTTAGGTCTACGTTATGTAGTTTGACTATTGTCAATTAAATCGAATGCTTTGTATTGCATGCGCTCCACGCTTTTCATTTTCAATTTCATAGATTGTTTATAATGACTTTTGCTAAAATTTCAAAATCAAAAGTTATCAAAACAAATTCTATGGGACTAAGAAGTATTATTTTCAACTTTTTAGTCCATTTATAAAAGCGTTGTATATTAAAAAGTTTTTTTTATATTATTTATTTTTTATATTTTATTTTCATTTTTTTATTACTTTTTTTGTATACCGATTACGATAATTCTTTTTTTTTATATGAGAATTGAAGTCGGTTTTGTTTTTTGCTTAAAAATTACTTGTTTCAAATTCTATTCAAGCGACTACCTTTTGATTTCCCTATCGCGCATCACATCAGTCACGTAAAGAGTATTTTTGTACTTATGCTAGAAAGCTTAATGGATTTTAGAATTAATAGGTATACACTTATCAGCGATGTAAGCAAAGTGAAGTTTATAAAATGTGTATAAACAAAAAAAGTGAATTAATTAAAGAAAATGTGTATATAATAATAATTCCTACCTCTTATTTATTTTCTTTTATTTAGTTTTGCATTGCTTAACTTTTTATGGCGCTTTCTCAGAACGATTGACATGACTATGACATTTATTTTCATACTAATAAAAAAAAACATATCTAGTTTTGTTTCAATATTTTGTTTACTATTTTTCTTGCCATTTAATATCAATCCCTTCACATAGCACGTGGTGCAGTTACATACATATTTATATACATATGTATATTTACATACGTAGTATACATGCAGTGGCGCAAATATATGTAAATAGGGCTATTTTTCTTTTGTTTATTTAATGTTCATTATTATTGCTTTTAAGTATAGCCCGAATTTCAAACTTTGTACAAAAAGTAGGACTAAATTTATTAAAACTGTTCTTAGCGTGCAGTTTTATAGCCCATTAAATTTAAGCACAATAAAGTGCAAGTTTGAGATAGCTAGTGCTCACTGTTGACGTTTGGAATTTTTTTATATGGAAAAACATTTTTAACACCATCAAAAAAAAATGCGAAAAATTTTCAGTTTTTTAAAACACGTTAAACTTACACAACAAAAAATTAATGGTCTACAAAACTTCATATCTAAAATGTCTTTTAAACTCTGAATAAAAAGTTTGAAGTTTTGATGAATATATATTTGTTGTACTTGGTTTTTGTTAGACAGTAAGCCATCTTTTATAAAAAAATAATAAACAATAGAAACCAAACTAAAAATGCCAAAACTTCTTAAAATGTTGCGTGCCTATTCATATTTTCGCCACCGTACTTTCCAATGTGTACTGTTTGCTTCTACTTACATTTCCACATACTGCTTATACTAAATAGATTTGCAAGCATATAAATTTATTTGCGCTTACGTTTTTCACGCGTGCTTATGTCGTGCCCACTCAGCGGATATGTTAGAAGCACGTTCCAAACATATATTTAATTTTAATGTATTTGAACATAAATGCTTACAAGCAAATCTGCATTTACAGTGAAACCGCGATATAACGAACTTTGAAAAAACGAAAAGCTCGATATAACAATATTTTTGGTTAGTTCCATAAAAAAACTTCATTCTTGCAAAATTTCCAATACAAAGATGTTCCATAGATACAGGGTCCCGTTATAAAAGGTCTAGCCAAAGGTTTTGGTATTCTACAAATATACATACAATGTATATAACAAAGTATTTGTCAAACTACTTCAACTTCGTTATATCGAGGTTTCACCGTACCGCGAATGCAATGCATACATACACATGGATTTAGTCATGTACTGAAGCATTCACGCTCGCATAAGTCTCTTGTAGGTAGTTGATTATAATTATTTTGATTTTGCGATTAGACAACTTTTATTTTATTTTATAAGCGTACAATTAACAGCCAGTAGTAATTAATTGTTGTATGTTTTTGTGTTGCGTTAAAATTAGCTAAAAATTAAATTCTACTTTTAATATGCAATTTTAACTCGAGAGCAATTAATTTATTTCTATTTTCAAAAATTTATTATATAAACAATTTTGAGTTAGTTATGTATGCTACCTAGGTGTGGCAAAATGTGTTTGTGCATCATATAGCAGTGAGTAGTCAATGTATTTTTGAGTTTCTGTTAATAAATGTTACATAATAAAAAAATAGTAGGGTTCCCCCACAGCAAAAAAAAAAATCCACAGAAAAATTTTTAATGTTGTAAAAAATATCCACGAAAATTAAATTTTTTATTGTTGAGTTTTTAGAAAAATTACACAGTGCAACACTAATTTTAATGTGGCAAATGTTGAAGCCATTTTTGATAGACTTTTTCGGGCTGATTACAAATCCGTAAGTATAAAATTTCTATCAGCTCCAGATTTTGAGGATAATGAGGACAAAGTGTCAAAAAATCGTGTTTTGGCAATATTTGAGAAGCTCTAGCAAAGAAAAAAAAATTATAGAACCTTCCTCTTTAATTAAATCTAAAACTTCCGACTACTGTACCTAGAAAAGGATATAGATTGAGACACAGGAACTCACCACTCAGTTCCTACCACACCTTAACACTTTGACTCCCCACAATTAAAACAATCACACCCATTCTCTCCTAAATTCACCACACCTTTACTCACCTCATCTCAAATTGGGAGCCATTTCGAGATTTTAGAGATTTTCTGGATTATCGCGACTAAATCAAGATTCCCAAGGCCATTTCGGGACTCTCGGGGCCATTTCAAGATTTTCGCGACTATTTCGGAATTTCCGTTATATTTATCAATCCTGTTATCAATAAATCCATCGATTTTGCAATTCTTAGGTTTATCGATAAAAGTATCGATATTGTTATCGATGTAATATTCGATATTGTCATTGCTATATTTATCGATATGTGCACATGTGTATATTGTTAGTGAATATTTATCGATATTTTTATTTTTATATGAATAGATATTGTTATTTGTATATGTATTTGTCAATAATGTTGTCGATATATTAATCGATATTGTTAATGATATATTTATCGATATAAGATATATGTAATAATATTTTTATTGCTATATGTATTTATAGATTTTGTTATCGCTATAATAATCGATATTGTTATTGATATATGCATTTGTCGATATATTTATCGATGCCGTTATCGGCACGAGATGGAAATTTTATTCTACACATATTTCTCCAAACTATGCAAAAAGTAATATAAATCTATTTTTACATAGTCGACTGCGTGTGTCTAGTTGTGAAGATTTTTGCAATATTTCCCAAGTTGCAGCAATAGATCTTTAAGATATTGATTTTCTGCAGCAACAAGTACCTCATCAATAACTCATTTTATTTTTACAGATCCATCAACCATCTCCTCATCGACAACTACAACAGAAGCATCCTTACGCGCAGCTGAGACGACGCAACACGCTGACAGCGCTGCACCCAGTACTGCCATCACCAACAATAGTGCGCCTGCGCCACCATTAGCAATGCCAATAACAACAATAGAGCCAATTATTACAACTGAACCAACAACTGCGCCCACAAGCGAGTACAGCAGCGAGCGACAGGCCAAAGAACATATTGCGCCGCATGATGCGGGCGTTGAGACGCATCAAACGATAACAACTACAACAACAAGTGCGACACCAGGCACAAAGGAAGACGTTATACTGCCGCATGTATTGGCCGAGCATGCGCAACACATTATCGAGGTGGACAAAGCAGAGCACAATCACAATCCGCCGCATATGCACTTAACACCCTACGACGCGGAACACATACAGCATATACATGGACATCATGGACACGAGCACGAGGATGAGCACGATCACGCGCATGAGCACGATCACACGCATGAGCACGCCGACGATGTAGCGCACCTCGATCACATGCACGAGCACAATGGCGACGAAGAACACTCGACGGAGCATGTGATCTCCTCGACCGCAAATGACATTTTCGCTGAGAGCAAGGAACCAAGTAAACCACTCGACAGTCCTTTTTTGGAGAGCAATGCGCATGCGGAGGGTGTGAATGACACACATGGCGGAGAGAAGATCGTGCACACACCCGCTGAGGTGCTGATCAACCAGATCTCACATGAATTTGAAGAGGATGACAAAGATTTGAACAATTTTCGGCATCCGGCAACGCTGATTACTGCCAGCAATAGTGACGAATCGATGATGTCCGCCATGATGGCGGCAGCAATGAAGGAAAATGAAAGAGATGCAACAGCGGCGGGGGGTGAGCCAGCAGCGCGGCATGAAGAAGATCCCTACCACGCGCACATACTCTCCGAGCAGCACGATCGTTTGGCCGAACAGGAAGATTTCAAACTGATCGCGGAGGACTTAAATAGTTCGACAGAGTCGCATTTAGAGACGACAACGCAGAAAGGCAGCGAAGTGGCAAAAAAAGTCGAAGCAAACGCAGAAGATAATTTGGCTGTTGTAGTACCAGCGATTGCTATGATCACTACAACAAATACAACAAATGAAGAACGTGGACGTGCAATGAATATAGTCGAAGTCGAGCAGCATAGAGCCGAAGAAGCGCCTGTTGTGACAACAACGCCGCCATCAAGCGCGATTAAAGAACCAGTTGTGGTGCCGATCGTCGAAGGACAGCTACAGCACCAACACACTGACAATCATATGCACGTAGATGATCACACGACCACTGAAATCACAACCACAACAAAATCAGAAGTCAACAACAACAAGAACAACAACAACAGCGAGGCGACACTTAAAAGCGACGAAGATTCGTCATCAACACCATACCCACAACATTTTTACTATCATGGCGAGGGTCGATCTGTGGGCGATAGCATATCGGCGGAGAATGACGATGTACCATTGAACTATCAATACCACAATTTTGTGACCACAGAACGCGACGGCAACAACAACAACAAAAGTGTTGTACATAAGAGCGGCGCTTTGTTGGATTTAAGCGATATTAACATGGATGAAGACGATCAAATGGATGTGACGCATAATACGCACGAACAAAAGCAACAACAAGAGCAACAACAACAGGAGAAGCAATTTGTAGAGCACAATCACAATAACCATAGTGCGAATGAAGGCGAAGAACAACAACTGAAGATTACCGAGGTTACGAAGGCAGCAGTGGGTGCGGCCGCAGCGGCTATGCTGCAAGACTGCACTGGCAGTGATGAGAAGATGTACAAGGTGAGTGCGTGTGTACTTAAAAAATTTCTTGATATATATGTGTGTGTGTGCGAGAAAAAATTCATATAGTGTGTGACATCATTATTTCGACTGCGAATGAGGTACCTTTTCGTGGGAAAAATAAAAATTTGCAAACCAAGCAAAAAAGGAATTTATTCTATGGAGTTATGAAACAAAATGTTAAACATAGCGTTTCGCATACATATTAGGTAATTACTTCTAAGAATCTTATTTATTCACAACTGGAAATTACTCAAAACATACACAGTATTTCGCTTGCCATTTGACCGTTGCTGAACGATTTGTGTCTTCGCTAATCAATACGCGAAGCTTCACTCCATTGGCTAAAGTTACAAATTTTCATACACTATATCGTTTCACGTAAAGAAACAAAACATAAATAAATAAATTCAGGTAAACAACTTGTCATTTTGCAATCGGCGCACGACTTCGAAAACCAGCTTTCAGCGACGCTTCATTTCACTTTCTTCACGTTCACCAAATTGAACATTGAGGTTTATTTTAACGATCGTTCGCTTGGGCTCCAAATAAATTGCGTAATATTTGAGTACACAAAATGGCATAAAAGAAAAATCGTGTCAGTGCTGAAGTTTTTAATTTTTACTTTTTGCCGCTAAAATATGCAAAGCACACACATACAAAAATCAATCACTTGGAGTTACAGATGTACTGTTTATATAACCTAGTTATTGGCTACTTACTTTTTTTTGTTAGCACCAAATCCACTTCATTTCGCAGGCTTACACTTATTCGTCCCTTGGGCATGAAAAATAAATAACGCGCAGGAAACTTTTACGAAAGTTGTATTCATTAATGCTCAAACATAATGTCTTTTGGCTCAAATGAGGAATTCGAAGAGAAATAGAGTGAAATTTTAAATGAAAGAGCCTTTAATAGTCAACTAGTTTGTCCTCAACCGCTTCGCTGAGAGTATGCCTCAACATATTTACTTTAACTCGGCCTAAAATATAGGTGTATTACACATTTTCCTTTTTTAACTCTCTTCAAAATATTTTAGGACGATAACCCTCGTAAACCTCTTTCGTCTGATACTCATACTGCGATGCTTATTTTAGTTAGCTAATTCAAGTTGAATTTGACATTTCAATAGGTGGATACTCTTCTAAATGAAGACTTTTCGGTTCATACCTATATTGAAATAATTCATTTAAATTTAACTTTCTAAACAGGTGGCAACCCCTCTTCAAAATATTTTCAAACTTCTTTCGTCTGACACCCACATCATCACAATGCATATTTCAATTACCTAAATAAAGTTTAATTTGATTTCTTAAACAGGTGGCAACCCTCTAATATGTTCGTATCGGAATGACTCGGGTTTTATCCGACTAAGGGCTGTTGTTTCGGCGATCTAACCATTTTTAAGTTGGCGAAATCTCTTAAACGTTGTTCATTCATGGAAATCATCCGCTCCGTACTCTTCTGCTCAGGGTTGGCTTCGATTTAAATCCTGGACCAGAAAGCTACACCTGCTGCGTGCGCCAGAGACCACGCCGCCTTCACGGCACACCAGAGTCCGCCCGAGCAACTCAACACAAACACGACCACACCACAACACAACACACCAATAGACCACGCCACAGACACAACCGCATCCCCACCTACACGCCGCCACCAACAACTTCTAGTTCCTCCAACAATCTGCTAGGTGTGTCAGACTAAGATATTCCATAACATTACATCAGTCAAGGGCAACACCTTCTTTGGCTGATGTCACTTTAGAGCATGTTCAGGACTGCGCACCACACGAGGTTGGACCGTTCTGTGCTGCCCGGTCGCTAACCCCTACTGCGATGCCGCAGTCGGTCGAAACGTTGTTGGCAATTTATTATAGTTGACATTTTTTTCATTTTTGGCTTACATTTTCTTCTATTTTTAACCGACTTCACAAAAAGGAGAAAGTTTATCAATTCGTCGGAATATTTTTTCTTTTTTTTATGTATGCTACCGTATAAGTTTTGACCGCGTTAACCGATTGCTATAATTCTTTTTTAAAGGAAAGGTGTTACCTCGCAGTTGGTCCCATATTAACTTGGCTTAAATCTGATCATTGGATCATAAAGAAATTAATGATAATCTTACATTTATATATGATTGAAGTCGGTTTTGTTTTTTCGTTAAAAATTATTTGTTAGATCTTATTGTTAAAAAAAAAATACTTTTTTTATTTCAATGAATTTTTAGGAACTTGCTCTACACTTTTTAATTTAATTATTTTAATCAAATTTTCTTTTTATTTTTAGATTTAGCATTAAAAAGATTTTATTTTATTTCATTTATGTAATTTTTAGGACCTTTCTTCCTTCTTTAATTTCATTTTCTTTTAAATTTCTGATTTTATTGTTTTAAAAAAAATATTTTTTTTAATGTTATTTACTTTTACTCTTAGATTTTATTTTTTTTTAACAAAAAATATGAATATCTTAATTTCTTTTAATTTTTGAAATTTTTATTTATTTTTAATTTTGATTTTGCTTTCTTAAAATTTTTTTTTATGTTTGGTTTTATAGTTTTAAAAAGAAAAATATAATTATTTGTTTTTTTTTGTAATTTATTTAATTTTTAAATAACCTATTGCTAAAAGATAAAAGGAATGAGACCTCCTCTTTACCATATCGTTGAACTAGTTGCTAGATTACCCTGTTAGTCCTTAGATCGGTGATGGGCACCGCCTTTACCATGGGCAAAGCCCTTTTAAGCTTTCTATATATTCATTATAGGGGCGTGCAGAGTAAAAGCTCTCTCTGCCCATCGCTGCTTTAGGCGCCAAAGTCGGCACTGCCCCACCAGAGATGTCTCCCTTTCCACTTAAAAAGTATCTCAGCCGAAGAAAGTTTCGAATTTGTTTATCAGGCAAGTTGACCTAACCTAAGTAAAGGTGTACATGCCATCCACGCGTGCGCAAATATGTACATATGTACGTACCTATGTGTATTTAAACCAACTTAAAAACTGCTTTAATGGCATTCCTGCGCAAATTTTACTGCGCTGCCACCACAAAGAAATGTATTTACCAAAGGTTCAAACCAATTCAACCTTGGTTGCTGCAATATGAAGACAGAGAAAATCAGCCATTTAAGGCCAACACTCTAGCAGTGCCACGCCCATTAGCAGTCACTTAAACAGCTACTTAAATATGCAAAAGAGATTTCACATTGCGCCATCATCAATAGCAACAATTCGAAAAACAACGCTTGCAAGCAAGCTATTGACTTGCAGACGACTTGCCGTGTATGTATGTATCTAAGAGTATGTGGCAAATGGAATGCGGTACGCAGTAGCATGCGACAGGCGGCAGACGATTGGTGGTGGCATGTGGCATATGCATGTCCACTACAACAACTATTGGCATGACATGCGTCACGACGAGCCGACTGAACGCTTCACTGCCGCCTTGTGCAGTGTGCAAACAACACGACAATAAATGAAAATATTTGCAGACCATATTGAAAAGTGAAAGTAAAATTCGATTTTTATTTTATGTTTGCGAGCTTCGCGTTTTTCACTTGTGTATGTACTCATATGTATGTAACCACAAAAATGCATCAATGAAAGCAAAATAAACTGCAAAAAAACGGAGGCGGACAAACAAGTGAATATGTATCTACATATGTATATGAACACATGTGAATATGTATGTACGAGGGCAATTGAAAAAGTCAGGGAATTAAAATGCAACACTGCTCCCTTCAGCTGCCATCTGATAATAGACTACGGTAATATTTTGAGTATGCTGCATAATATCGAGAAATTTATTTTTGATGCAGAAATGTATCTACATGTATGCCCTAGGAACATTTCTCAATCAAAAATAAAATTTTGAAAAAATGTCGCTTATGTTTTTTTGGCAGGTAGGGCTCGATATAGTTTGTGTTTGATAGCAGAGAACCTCGTAAAATTTCACGAAATTGAAAAAAGTAAATTTCGTATGCTGACCAGACATTATTTTACGTGTAAAAGACCATCTCCGAAATCAAGGAAAGACCTGATAAATACTATACTGCACCATCACTTTAAATGGTTAAGAAGTAGTTTACTGAGTTTTTAAACATATGTAAATAATCGGTCTGCACGATGGGTGCATTCACTCGACCAACAGCGTAACCGTGTGCCAACTTCAAACGAGTGTTGGACGCAATCCCAATGAATTATTGGGCCGTTTCGGAACAGTGGACGAAATATGGATCCACCACATCACACCTGAGAGCATGAAACTATCAAAAGCGCGCACAAAATAAGGCCAAATTGAGTATGTAGGCCAATAAGTTAATGGGATACACGCGGTGTGGCTTATATCGATTACCTTGAAAAAGCCAAAACGACTGCCAGCGAATATTGTTCGGAGATTTTAGATAGACTCGATGTTACTTTGAAGCAAAAATTACCACATTTAGCCGAGAAAAAAGTGTTATTAGAAAATCCATCAATTGTGCTACGAATTCCTACCCCGTCCACCATATTCATCAGTTTGAGCCCACAGCGACTATTTCCTGTTTCCAAACCCAAAGAAATTGCTGTACAGTAAGAGATTTGGGTCGAATGAAAAGGACATCACTGGAACAAACGCTTATTTTGGGGATCTTGAAAACCCCTATTATTTGGAACGAAAAACCTGGGTTCAATGCATCGAGCTAAAAGGAGAAAACATTGACAAATAAAACGCTGTTTTGCCGGAAAATATAACTTTTATTCCAAAAGTCACTGACTTTTCAAATTACCCTCGTATAATCGCACACGTAACTGCAGGTGTATGTAAGCACTTACAACTGACTGCGCTCTCACAAACCTGTGTTGACGGCAGGCATTCCGATAGCTAGGCAGCGTTTTAATGAGTACCGGCCGGCAACAAGTGTTCGCTCGCATGCACTCTATTCATTGCTGGTCAACCGCTAATTATGGGCGCGGAAGGTGCTGAGTACCATTTGGCCTGCAGCGTTGAATAACTTTGAACTATTGTA